AAAGAGGGGAGGTGGGGGCGGTACTACATATCGTTCAGTTTAGTGATCTTTCACGATAATTGTTGTGGTAGAGCTGATATACTCCTGATTTCGATGACAGAATCCTTGGATGGGACCGTAATGAAAATATTAGCCTTGCATATACGGGTACAATTTTAAATATCACTGTCTTCGACCAGTCGCTCCCTATAATTTTAAAGCTGTTTCACAAAGTGATATTTGAAATCTTTAGGGCCGTCTTCCCGTGAAGTGGACAGCTTATGAGGCCTTGATGTATGGTAAATATACCACCAAAAGTGACGTGTAAGTATTCCCGATTATTACCCGTAGCAATTTTCCAACAAGTTTTATTAATAGAATAAGAGAGATGGTAAGTTTTGAGCTCGATAAAGAAATAGAGAAAGATGTTTTTCATCTTCTCACGAGCATTGGACGATGAAAAACATTCTAGAGTCCTCATGAGGAATCGAACCTCAGATCTTCGGATTCCGCGCTCCGATGCACTACCACTGAGTCACAGAGACTCTACGATGAGCGAGGTCTATTACGAAGTTCCTATGACACGCGTCCTGCATACTGCCAGGATCAGCGATGTCAATATGGTCATTTTTGTAAAATAGAATAAGAGAGAGAATCGGAGCGCGGAATCCGAAGGCCTGAGGTTCGAATCCTCGTGGGGACTCAGAATTTTTTCTTTACCATACGCTCGTGACAAAACAAAAAATATCTTTCTCTAAGTGTTATCAGTTTTAATCAGGAGATGAATTCTATGCTTGTCAAATAACGCATATATTTTAGTTGTCGTATATAATGTTAATGTCTCCCGTTACCTAATTTATATTTGTTTGATTTGTCTTTCTTCAGGTGGAGTTATGGAATTTTGCTGTACGAGATTTTTACCATAGGTAACATCGAATGGAAGTTTATGAGGCCTTGTTGATGGTTTTTGCTATATACCACGTTTAATTAAACAATGTATCGTGTTCAGTTAGAGAAACGTAATGAGCTTCAAAGTACATCAAGTGACACAGGTGATGTTTCAGTGAAGGTCGTTTGTTCGTCCCATTTATATTTCGATGGTCTTATGGTTCTTCCAGGCGGTTCACCTTACCCACGAATGGATGGAAGAAAAATTGCAAACTTACTTCAGGATGGATACAGGATGCCTAAACCACAACACGTCGATGAAGAATTGTAAGTGCTTTTCAATTCGTTCTCTCTCACCCTACAAGGAAACGTTCGTTAAATCTCTGACAGATCATTTAAACAATACCAGGTATCAGATTATGATGAAATGCTGGAAGAATGACCCAGATGCAAGACCAACTTTTACTGAATTGAAAAGTCAGCTTAAGGACATGGAAACCCTACACAAGGTGAGAATTTTGATCAACATGAAAGTTTCTTTTCACGTTAGACCGACTGGCTTAGGCTCAGCTAATTAGGGTTTTTAAACTTAACAGCGTTTAGCCTAGATAGCGTAATTTTTACGAAGTTTGGATTGCATCTTCTTGTTATGTCACTGAAGCAGGCACTCCACGAAAAACGGGGAAGAAGCGAACCTGAATGTCCCAATGACAATTAAAAGATCATAGGGTGTTGCAAAACCGCATTGAGACGCACAAAGAATAGCAGACGACGACGCCTTAAATTACTTTCTTGAATTTGTTTTGGTGTGAAAAGCTGACCACTTGTGAGGATAAACGCTTATAAGAGGAACACTTTTTTCATGATGCTGATTATAATACTATTATTTTCTGCAGAAGCTGATCAACATGACTATGTACGACAAGCAGTTGTATGCAAATGTCGAGGATTTAATAGTGTAGTTAGATACACGTCCGTGATGTATGACTGACTAACAGTTTGAACACTTTGCCACAACAAGTTTCATGGATGAATGATCATTTCCTTACACACGTACTTGGTAGAAATATCCATGTTGTGTTAAGCAGTTAGGCTGCAACGCTGTAACTCAATTGATTTTATACTCTTAAACGCTGTAACGCTTTTATCAGTTTACCGATAAAGTATAATCTCATTTTCTCTTTAACATGTTTAGCACTTACACGCATGCTCGACACAAGCGTTTGAATTCAGTTTATTTTCTGACTCAATTCTGAAAGGCAGGACAGTGCGGAAAATATCCAATTAACTAGATTGATGAGATCTCGTTCTGTGTGCCGTAGTTGTCTATTGTTTTCCCGCAAAACCCGCTTGGTTTTAGGAAAATTATCCGGCGCGTAAACTACTTTCCCTAAGACCGCATTTACCTGCGATACCAACTCAAGTTACTTTTAGACTGAAAGTATAATTAATTAAAAATTACGTTATCCTAATAAAAATTATACTCGGCACATTACTTGTGCAATCGTCGTAGCTTTGAAAAATGAATGTGTAAGACCCGAGTACTTCTCGATCTCTTTGTGAATCTTATCGGTGTTTATCACCTTGCAGGTAAACAATTGTATCTCCTCGGATTTGTCGTCACAATCAGGAGCATGTCGCGAAAGTGTGATGATATTTTAACACCTACCATTTAAATGCACAGGTTTTCCCCATGGAGATGTTTATTAATTCATTAGTGTTCTTTCGAGTACCCTGGAGAGGATTAAAAAAACATATATTAATGAGAACGGGTGCTGACCATACAATTTTAAAACAGCCAACAAAAGTTAGTGCTCTGGGAATTATGGGTAGTTATCGTCAAATAAACTGCGCTTTGTCACGAAAGAGGAAATAAATGGATTGGTAACGGGACGTACAGTGTAAATTGCTATTACCTGCGTCCAAAGTATTGTCTTGGATAATACCATATATTGTTTCACGTACATTTCCTGATAAATGCAAAGCGTAATAGTAAATGATGCGATGATAGCAGCTGAGTGAAAAAAACGGGGGAGGGGTGGGTCGGGTCGCGTACTGTTTTGCTGCCACTATCGCGCAGTTCATTTATTTCGTTCTGTTTTACTACCTGAAGGCCTGGAACCGGCTAATGACTCCAAGTCCCTGCATTTTTTACAAGCAGAAAAAGATTGTTAAGTTAATATGTAGTTCAGATTGACGCTCGAATAAAATATAATTTGCTTAAAGCTTCTTAATAGACACTCTGGTCTTTTTGCTTTATCGTTATGTAAATGAAATGGGTGTATTGAAGAAAACATTCAAGGAAAGATGACACCCGAGCCATCGGGTAAAAAATGCGGGGTAGAAAAGTTAATTGCTTTTAATAAAGCAAAATTGGGACCCAGCTACGCCAATTGTTTCATAGGTTTTACCGAACACCAATTTTTCAGTCAATACAACGGCCCCAAACCTGAAATCTACGGTCGCTACATCGACGACTGTATCAGCGCCACCTCCTCTACCAAAGATGAGCTGACTCAATTAATAACCGTTATCAATTCATTTCGCCTGGCTTTGAAATATACCTGGGAAATTTTCGACATATCTTTGGCCGTTTCTAGACATCAAAATTTCAATTAAAATCAGAAACAAGAGCGAATAGAATTATTGAGTTATTAAATTTTATCACCTTTTGGTAATCCGTTTTAACGCTCATTTTTTCTTCAAATTAAAGCCACCTGAAGTCAATATCATTTCTGATCGTCAAAACGGCAAAACTTGACTCATACAAGCAACGGTTAAGTTAGGTCCGAAGCTGAATGAAAATTCAACGCAAGTAGTTTATTCAGCTGTACACAAAATACATTAATCTACGATCGAAGAAACGTTTAAGGGTACGACATACAATACTTACTACACAAGCATTCAGGTATCTTTGAGTTCCAACTTATAGGCAAGCGAAACATTTTGTGAACAAGTTGATTTAGTGTTTTGTTTAACTGGAACAGAGTAAAGCTTGTGATCGAGGATAGCTTTCGTTTCAATATCCTGACCTCGATTTCACGCTTCGAGTGTACGAATTAAGAGTTATATTCCTACTGAGACAAACAT